ATTGATCTTTTTTTCCAGGTTCAATGGCTTATTTGAAGGTTATTTGAGTTGGATGGTTTAATTGCTGGTTTTCAAATAGTTCAGTGGCTTATTTGTACTTTATCCCTTTTTTTTTTTAAACAACTAGACTTTGATTATGAGGCTTAGTTTTATTTTAGAGTTTATTTTAAATGTGATTTTTTTATTAAAGAGAAAATTTATTCCCAAAAAATATATATTTTTATTTGTCTTTAAAAGGTTTTTTTTTTTTTTTTTTTTTTGGGGGGGGGGGGGGGGGGGGGAACTATTGACCCTCGTTGGGGTTTGAACTTATGACGTCTTATATAAGAAAGTCACAATTATACTGTTTGACCACAAATGATTTAATTTTTTTTTGTTTGGAATGATTTTGCTTGTAAAAATTTAATCAGACTTCATCATACTGCATTTAAGGGCAAATTATTTTGTGGACCCGTGTCTAAATGGTCACAATTTACCTTTTAAAATTTCGCAATTTATATACTACAAACACACAATGTTAACATATATGTAATTTGATTACCTTGTTTTGTATTATCAAGTTCATTTCAAATACTGTCGTCACACAATATTAACATATTATGATTTGATGACCATGTATGACATTCACAAATTCTCTGTGTTTTGACTTAGAAACACAATTTATATTGTAGAAGTTCACAATTATAATACTAAAAATACACAATTTATAACACGTCATATATATTATGGGATTATACACAACCAAATATCAATATTCGTAATCATTCCAATTCCACCCTACCACCAAACATGCAAAATCCTTTCACTAAAACCCATTAACATTACAAGTATTTAATTCTCATTCCGATTTCAATCCCCATGTACGAACCAAACACACCCTAAAAACTAGACTTTGATTATGAGGCTTAGTTTTATTTTAGAGTTTATTTTAATTGTGATTTTTTTATTACAGAGAAAATTTACCTTTATTTGTTTTTGAAATGGATTTTTTTTTCGGAGTTCTATATATTGGGCTTGTTGAACCTGTGACATCCCATTTAAGAAAATTACAGTTATGCTGCTTAACCGTAAGTGCTTTAATTTTTCTTTTTTCTGGAATGATTTTGCTTGTAAAAATTTAATCACACTTCACCATACTGCATTTAATTAGGGCATATATTCTATTTTTATTTTTATATCAAAATTAAATAAGACTTTTGAAATTCATTTTGATTGGTTGATATATATTTTTGAAATATAATCAAGGCCCCCACCACGGGTTAATTCAATCATATGACAATTCATTTGGAATGGTATCATAACTAGTCAACTAGATAAGGTACCATCACACTATATAGTGATTTGCATTGAATGATATATAGTTATATTTCATTTTATTACCGAACAATACAAATATGGTGTTAATATTAGTTAAAATTTTTAAAAAGTAGATGAATAATTTATTTTTTAAAAAAAAGTTTGTGTTTATCTCCTACTAGTATCACTGAGGACTTAGTCTTGACAATAACGGCTATTATAATTCTTCACAAGATTATTGTACAAATTGTTACATAATACAACTCTATGATTAATGACTCCTCTTGACAATAGTTGCTATTAGAATATTTCACAAAATTATTGTACAAATACACATAATACAATTCTTGAAAACAAGTGCATGAAAAGTTTAGGGACCAAACTTAACGTCTAGTTTTATTTTAGAGTTTATTTTAAATTTGATTTTTGATTATGGGTCCTTCTATCTAATGAGCCACTAAATTACCGTAATTTATCCATTATAATCATCGTATAATACATACGTACACTTTTTCTACTTAAAACTATTCCAATTGATTGGGCAAATTATCATACCATGGACTAGGGTCTACCCTGCAATGTAGACACTGATCCAAAAATAACCTTCATAATATGTATCTATATAGTTAACACATTTTGTACATGCAGTTGATAGTTTTTATACATGTAGCTATCATGTTATGTGTAAGCAATTATCAAGTCAGATTCTGTATCTATAGTTGGCACATAGTGTACTTGCAGTTGATAGTTTTTATACATGTAGCTATCATATTATGTGTCAGCAATTATTAAGTCAGATTTTGTATCTATACTTGACACATTCTGTACTTGTAATTGATAGTTTTTGTACATGTAGCTATCATGTTATGTGTCAACAATTATCAAGTTATTTGTTTATATATACAGAAACTGTTAACTGAAGATACATATATAATTTTTGTATTCGTGTCCACAATGCAATATGAATCTTGGTCCATTATATAACAATTGTTTTTTTTTTTTGGTGAATATAATATAACAATTGAATTGATTGCATACGGATCACGCTACAAACTAATCATATTAACTCATCCACTTATATTACCACATTTAATAATCACAATATGAGGTCCAACTTACCCTCGCTTAAAATTTTTATCAAATATATTTTCTTGTCCCCTTCTTGAAAACATTTGTTAAGATTAAAATGATACTGAAAAGATTAACATAGCGTATATGGCGCAAATTATGATGTGCCCGATTGTAAAAACGACGTCGTTTTGACTAAAAACACGCGTCCCACTTAAAAAAAAAAAAAAAAAAAAAAAAAAAAAAACAGGTTCGATTCCCGACAATAGCATTTTTTTTTTGTTGCATAATTTGAATTATACATCCACAATTTCATAACTATATATCCACAGTGAATGAATAACACAAAATCCAAAATGAATGAACTAAATATCAACAATGAATGAACTAAATATCCAAAATGAATGAACTAAATATCCACAATGAATGAACTAAAAATCCACAATGAATGAACAACATAATGCTGTTGAGGGGAATTGAAATTAATTTTTTTTTTAAAAATGAGACGTGCCATTTTAATCAAAACGAGTAAACGACGTCGTTTTGCAACCGTGTGCACCATGGTTGCACAGCATAACTATTGCGTATATGGCTATATGCTAAATTTACAAGAATGGGCTGAATGACACACAGGAATTTTAAATTTTTATGGGCCGAGATTACATAACAGGATACCAAATTAAATTAATCATTCTTTGAAGCCCGGGCTAATTTATGAATTCTGATCCGACAAGCAGCCCACTTTTAACAATGTATTAGTTTAACTTTCAGAACTATTAATTATATTAAAATTATCTATTTTGGACTTTTATAATCCATTTTTACATGAAGATTGAAGATCTATCTCTTTGATTTATGGAAAGAATTGCAATTGTTATTTAAAATTGTGTTATTGTACTTTTTAACCCTTGAAACGTTTGATTTAGCCTTTGGTGCTTGAATCAAAGTTGTAGCCATTCAAGTTATCTTTCCAATGGGAAAAGAATCACTTGATTTGGACACTCCTACGCTGAGATATGACCAAAATATCGAGCAGTGGACGATTTGTGCGGAAATTTCAACTTCTTGCTTTTTTGTTCTACTTTTGCTTTTGTTTGTCCAAATGACCAAGACTAATAAACACACCATAATTTGGCTCTCTAAAAGGTGTTGCCCCCATCTTCATAGCTTCTCATCGGCTTTGACTCTACATGCATCCGAAATGTCCCAAAAATCACTCAATTCATCTAAATCATCCAGAATTACTCATAAGCACACAAATGAATCAAATGAGGACACTTTAGACAAAATTATAACAAATAAAAAAGAAAATAAGCTTAAATGTAAGGTGAAATTATAAACTTTTAGACTCTTATCAGGAAACTTAAGGAGCAAATGGTGGAGTGGGAAGAAGTAGATAAAGATGGGAGAAGGAGGAAAGGAAGAAAGATAGAGGTGGTTGAGGGTTCACAGGATGGGGGAAGTGGTGAAGGGAGTGCACGCACCCTTCGATCTATATGTTAGAAATTTATATAGTAATGAGAGTTAATGGTTTAGATGAACTACATGAAAAGCTGAAATAATATTTGAAATTGTAGAGTTATAAATATTATTTTAGTTTGATAGAAAGTAAGTTGGGAAATATGAATATTGCGTACAAATTGTTATGCACAAATCGTTATTTAAACGATGGATTCAGTTGTATCAAATTCGTTAATTTAACGAATCGAAAGATTCAGGTTTAACGAGTTGATGTCATGCATTTTGTTTGTTTCGCTGGGTTACACGAATCAATGCTTTCGTTGATTTTATGATAACGAATCGTGTTGGCTTTAACGTTTTGTACATTCATTCGTGCTCAACGAACGAATACGATTCATGTTACTTAATAAATCGGTGCATGCGTTGCTTAACGATTTATTGAATTTTGACAATGAATTCGTGTGAAGCCTTTTGTACAAGATTCGTGTGAAACAAACCAAAACTTTGGTTTTGCTGCATGCTTTGAATGGGGTAACATATATTTATATATATTATATAATATTTATTTCTTTTGTATTGGGACATGCATGGATATATAAATATATATAATATATGTATGTATGTATATATTATTTCACTTAATTATTTTCCATGCCTAATATATCAGATAAGATATATTCTATGAAAGTTGAGTTTTTGAACTCCTGTAACTTCTATGTAACTTATCCAAACTGCTTTGTATGCATCTATAAATATTTGGAGAAATGTTTGAAAAAAAAATGCAATAAACTTGCATTAATCTGAGATATTTCACAGTAGTACTTTTCTACAGAAAATTATTAAACAAAGCAACTTAAAGAATTTCATCATCTTCTTATTATATTCCATAATATTAAATCTTGAACTTTGTTGCTTTTATATGAGGGAGATTTAAAACTGATAGGAAAGTGATTACCGCCTGAAAATCTCGTTTCCTCACTTCCTTATCATCAAACACTCCATATTTTCTAACAGTACAAACTGCAGGACAAAGAGATATTGTGTGGCTTGCATGACCAGATGGTATGAAATTAAAGTTACTTAAAGACTGTACTCATGTTTTTTCTGTTTTTGTTTATACTTAGGTGTGATATTACTGCCTGTTCCACTTTAATTAAAGGCATAGGAATATGTTGTGAGCAGGAATTTTGTTATCTCTGCCTGTATAGGTTTTATGATTGACACTACTTATGGTTAAAACTAAACATCTGCTAATGAAACTTTGGTGCAACCATAAAATAGTAAATTATCTTCTTAGAAATGCTAGCGTTGGATGCTAACCACAGTTTCAGGAGAGATGACCAGATGATTCCAAATCTTGTCACTCCTTGCTTCCCAAAGTTTCCAGCAGATAGCAGAGATCAATCTACAAAGCACAGTTTCCTCTACATCTTTGAAATTTATTTCCAACCAGTCCAAGAAGGAATCATATATCAGCATCTCGATAGGAGGAGTTTCTAGCAAGCTGGCAGGTGACAAAGATGTGATATTGCAAATCTGACAAACTGGCCTGGAAGAACATGAATCTGCAGTTTAATTCTAAGAGCATCATGGGTAGGAAGAGATCCAGATCGAACAAGCCTGCCACATGAAGGATTTCATTTTTGGAGGAAGATGCAGTGTCCACATCTTGGTCCAAAACAAAATATTATGAGCATGATGATGATTCCCCACAAGCTTCCCCTTTCTCATCTTCTGGCCAGATAATCGATCTTGTCCTCACATTTGAAATCTGCAACTGGAATACTCTTAATTTTATCCACACATCTTGCTGACTGATTAAAAAGGCTAATCAGCAGAGAGTCATCCCAATCAGTTTTGGCTTGGTTGGTTGAGGAGATCTTTAACTTTAGATACTGCCTGGTGATCTGTCAAAGGGGGTTGAACAAAAGGAGATTGTTTGTTAGATCTCCCCAGATATTAATGGATGCCCCATCTCCCACCTTCCATCTATAATTACTTTTGATAACACTCTGAGCCTCAAGCAAACTGCGCCAAATGGCAGCTGAAATGTTTAACCTTAGCTTAATTTATATATAGTGAGTGCTAATTACCTCTAAAACAGTGAAGAAAAGCATGGACGATGGATACCGACCAATCTGACCCCAACAACAAGCTAAGCTAAGCGATTCAGTAATGTATAATATAATTCTCCATCTACAGCTTAGCTTCCCGGCCTCACCAAACTAAGCTTCTCATCTCTACTTCATCACTGGCATGGAGGGTTGATTGTCTAGCCTACACAGATTAGTAATGACACAATTAAGCAAAGTAATTATTAGGAATAAGGTTCAAATTGGCCACTGAACGTAACCTGAAAATGCAATTAGGCCACTGAACGAAAAAAAAGTACAATTAGGCCACTGAACACTCCAAAAATGTGCAATTTCACCTGATAGCAGGTCACCCTCAATTTTAGCAGGTTAACTGCTTACGTGGCAGCTGAGTTGGCATTTTTAATAAATTTTAAATCATTTTTAATAAATTTTAATAATAAATTTTTATTTAAAAAATAAAAACGACTTTATTTTATTTTTTATTTAATTTTTTTCAATTTTTTATAAAATTTATTATTAAAATTAATTATTAAAAATTATTTAAAAATTATTAAAAATGCCAACTCAGCTGCCACGTAAGCAGGTAACCTGCTAAAATTGATGGTAACCTGTTATCCGGTGAAATTGCATACGTTTGGAGAGTTCAGTGGCCTAATTGCCCGTTTTTGGAGTGTTCAGTGGCCTAATTGCACTTTTTGTTCGTTCAGTGGCCTAATTGCATTTTCAGGTTACGTTTAGTGGCCAATTTGAACCTTATTCCTAATTATTATATTGTGAATCACATAATAATAAGTTAAATAACACATTATGCTCTAACTCACTAGCTGTGTTTTATTGTTAAGTCAATCTGTATATTCAAAAGAAAATGGCTTACTTGTTAAAGATGGAGTGAGGGATAACCAAGCTGCAGAGATCTCAAACGTATGTTCTTGATGCCATAGTTGTTGACCATCGAATTGGTGCTTCTTGATCCAATTGAACAAGACACATACAAATATATGATATCAAGTGTTAACAAGTCTCAAAGTCCCATTAAAGAAGAAAAGCTTTTCTATTTTATATATTGTAATATAACTAGCAAATGCATGCATATATTCAATTATTCATACCACCTTTTTTTTATTGGTGTGTGGGGGCCGGGCCGGGGGTGGTGTTATCTTTCTTCCTCAACCTGTCACATACAACAACATTAATGCTTTGATACAGACCTGTATGTCAAGATTATTAAACTCCTTCAATTTGGCTACAATTCGATCAATTAGGTACAACAAATAATAAAGATTGTTGGGTAATGAAGATCAAGGTTGATGTGTCTGATCTGCAAATGCATGAGAAAAATTAAATTAAAGCCTTTTGAATGTCGGATATATCGAGGATTAATTTGGACAGTATGACAGCTAATCAGAGAGCTGAGTAGGAAATTCAAGACCAAACAATTGAATGGCTTATTGTGATGGATGATATTTGGAAGTATATAAATTTGAGAAATAGTGCCTTTCCTTAGTTATTAGCAGCAAAGAAACCTATCACATGGTTGGCCGACATTGTGGATTCATATTTAAACATGCAACTGCTATCTTGGCAACCAAAATCAACCCTTCTGCTTCCTGCTTTGTTGGTAGTGCTAGTACTCTGAAGCTAAACACATCACATGTTTCAGTGATCGACCTCCATAGTATAGGCAAACTCTACCAACAAAAGATCAGCTAGCTTCTCCACTTCTTCGTCACTGATTGAGTTGATTGCCTGCATAGATTAGATTATATATTGACGAAATTTGAAGTGAGCTGAGCACAGTTTGTTGTGATAAATATATATTGTGTATACACAACAACAAGCTAAGCTTACTTGTTAGAATGTGATGATAAATAATGTGTATGACGTACACCGATCAAGATTATTTGTTGATGTTATAGTTGTTGACATTCAAATGGATGCGGGCTTCTTCCATCGAACAATATATACATGTACCATGATGTCGATCAAATTCCTAACACAACATCATCAATTACACTAGCTAGCATGCATGCAATATAACAGTGAAGAAATTTTTAGGCCTGATTGGATCAGAAAAGCTGCTCTGATCTGATCTACATCCAAATGTATTTAAATTAAAGTTTGATCTGAAATCCTAGCTAGCTACCTGTATAGTATAGTATAATTGTTACTTTACTTACCAGCAGTGTATAGTATCTGCATGATTATTGTAAGCTAAGGCGGCATGCATGAGCATGACAGCAGAGTCTTAATTGGTGTCAGTCATAATTTGCACAACTGGCATGCATGGTTTGCAAAGTCGTCGTCAAATTAAAGAAATTGGGTTGTAACTACGGCTAACTGTTGAATGAATCTACAAAACAGATAAATAATTAGTTTCAAATTAAATATAATTAGAGATGGAGGATTGGATCATATGAATAATATTATAAGATAGGGTGGCAGGGTACGTTGATCAGACCAATAATGCATTATGCATACATACCCTGGCGGCTGGCATGAATAAGACTTCAACCTACCCTACCTTCTAAGGATCGGAGTAGGAAATTCAAGACCACCGAACAATTGGTAGGTTTATTGTGATCTGCAGTGGAAGTGAATTTGAGGATTGCCTTTCTTTGCTTATTAGCAACACACAAACCAGTTCCATGCTTGGCCAACATTATGGATTCACATTTAAACAGGCCATTGCTATCTTCGCCACCAAAACCAACTCTTTCGCTTCCTGCAGCTTTGTTGGAGTAGACAGTCGAGGGTCTAACACATCTTTTAAAAGTACGTGTTCCATGGACAGTTGATATTGGGGATGAAAAAATGGACGTCATCAGGTCACCTGGATGTTTACCCATAATCACTTCTAGTGCTACCACTCCGAAGCTATACATATCACATTTTTCGGTCACCTCCATAGTATAAGCAAACTCTACCAACAAAATAAAAATGGAAGAAAATAAGAAGAGCATATATGTAAACTGGATTAACTATATAGGTTAAGCTTGGGTGACAAAATGGTTTGTACGTACCTGGAGCTGCATAAACAAGATATTGTACTACTTTGGAAAAATCTGTAAAAAAGAACATGGATTCCAAAGGTGTACAAACTTTTTGTTAGTCTTACATAACAAATAAAACAAAGCCAAATTTTAGTTGAAAATTTGACTTTGTAACCACAAGATTCCAAGTTAGTTCGACTTTCCGTGAAAGCTATCTATTGGCTTCTTGATTTGAGGTCACAAGACGGGCTTCAATTCACTCAGTGGCGGTTGCGAGCTTTCCAAAGAGGTTCCTATAATCTAATCTCCAGAACAAGTTATTTGAATCATCAGGTCTGGGTAAAGGTAGTAACGTAGACACATATATAGTTAAGTCAAATTATATATATATATATATATATATATATATATATATATTATCAAGGTCACTAACAAACTTACTTCTGAGAGAGTCCAATATCTGATCTCTAGCAGGATTTATTGATCGATGTTATATATTTGACATCATATATGGCACATGCCTTGTTGAATTGGAGAAGCATCAGTTCACCTGTCATTAACAACAATTGAAAAAAGTTTTAATTAGAATATGGTTGTTTTGTGGTGATTAAGTATTAAAAAAAAAAAAGAAGGTGATTTCACGGAGTAAAAAATTAAATGAACACATACACCTGCAGAACTAATCAAGATAAGAATGAATGCATGAATTCGATCACCTATGGCTCTGGCGTGGAGGTGTTGCAACTTAGTTTTAGGATCATATGTTAGCAACTGTGATGAAATTTGAAGCAAATACATGCAGTAAATTAAGCTGCTCTGATCTGATCTGCATCAAAATTTATGTAATTAAAGTTCGAAATCTATCCAGTATGAATAATATTTACTAATAATATAATCTGGATATATGTTGTAATCCATCCAAGGTAGTAGATCAGAAAATGCATGATGCATTATTTCATAGGAAAAACACAATTAAGGTGATTAATGATGGAAAGCCAAAAAAACTTACAAAATTGTATGTAATGATGGATCTATTGGTTTCATCCATCAATCATGCATGGTACGGTGTTCCCATATTGCCAGAATGCCAAATAATCCTTTGCTTGTGACACAAATTAAACCAATCTTCAAAAGACAATAATTTCCTTGTCTTTGTCTATGGCATGCTTTGATTTATATATGAATGTGTTGAGCATGCAGAACTTGAAGAAGCCTTTGTCTGTCATATATAGCCAATAATTTCTAGGAAACAAAACAAACAGATGAGACATAATAAGTGAAAGTTTATTAGATTACATACATACAAGATGGACACCAAAACGTACCTATAATATTTTCAGCAAATTAATTAAATTGACACCTCAACTTAACCAAGTGATTTGGTGATGCATGCATGTATAATTCTGTGCATCATATACATCAGCAAGCTAAGCTAAGCTAGCGTCTGTACTTCATCTCTTTTGACTGCCATTGTTTGATTGCCTAAACAGATAAGGGTAATGCACACAATTATTAAAGTTTGAAACCCTAGCTACCTGTATAGTATAGTATAGTATAGTTGTTACATACTTACCAGTGTATCTGCATGATTGTAAGCTAAGACAGCACATATATATGCATGACAGCAGAGTCTCTTAATTGGCCCGTTTCATAATTTGGTGCCATTTTAATATGTACAACTGGATGGATGGTTTGCAAAGTCATCTTTCGTCATAAGAAATTGGGTTGTAACTGCATGCAGCCAACTGTACTGTTGAATGAATCAACTAAACAAATATTAGCTAATTTCAAATTTCAGTATATTTTAGAGATGGATCATATATATGTATAATCTTATAAGATAGGTGGCAGGGTAGTTGATCAGACCAATAATGCATACATACCCGGGCATGATTTACATGAATAAGACTTCAACCTACCCAAATTTACCCTCTAAGGATTGGAGTAGGAAACTCAAGACCACCAAACAATTGGTTTATTTTGATCTGTGGAAATGAATTTGAGGAATAATAATATTGCCTTTCTTTGCTTAGCAACACAGAAACTTGTTCCATGCTTGGCCGACATTGTGGATTCATATTTAAACACGCCACTGCTATCTTCGCACCCAAAATCAACTCTTCCACTTCCGGCTTTGTTGGATTAGAGAGTCGAGGATCCAACACATCTTTGAAAAGTGTTTCATGGACGGTTGATGTCGGAGATGAAAAAATGGACGTAATGAGGTCACCTGGATGTTTACCCATAATCACTTCTAGTGCTACCACTCCGAAACTATACACATCACATTTTTCCGTGACCTCCATTGTATAAGCAAACTCTACCAACAAAATAAGAAGAAATAAGAGATCAGAGCATATATGTATATATGTATGTATGTAAACTGGATTAACTATATATGTTCAGCTTGGGTGAAAAAATAAGGGTGTACCTGGAGCTGCATAGCCAAATGTTCCTGCAAATGAAGTCCAATTTGATGAATGAAGACTCAATATTCTTGCTGTGCCGAAGTCAGACACGTGAGCTTCATATTCACAATCAAACAAAACATTCTTAGCTGATATATCCCGATGTACAATAGGTGGTAAACAATCATGGTGAATATATGATAAAGCTCTAGCCACAGCTTTAATCACATTTATCCTCTTCATCCACCCGAATTCCATGGCTTTTTCCCCATCATTTAATATGTCTGCTAGGCTTCCCCCTTCCAAGTACTCATAAATTAAGAATGTATTTCTCTCACTAGCACAAAAACCATACAGTTTCACAATATTCCGATGCCTAACCTCTGTCAAAGTGCGAACCTCATTTGAAAAACTTTTGAGTTCGCAAGGTTCGTCTTCTTGCCCAATTGCATTCTTAAACCTCTTTATAGCAACAATTTGGCCACTTGGTAGCTCAGCCTTATAAACACTTGCATGTCCTCCTTCACCAATGCAATATTTTGAATCAAAGTTCCCAGTTGCCTCGATGATGCTTTCATATGCCATCTTTCCATCAAAACTCAATATTGTCAACACATCTTTAGTAATTCCCCTTGGCTTTTCTCTAATGCTCCTTGACCGAAGAATTAACAGGACAAGAATGCTAATAATCATAGACAAACTTCCAAATGTTAGTAGTAGTATGATTAAGAGCAAATTTCTTCTCTGATTATGATCTCTTTGATTGTTTGCGGAGCAAGGGTTGAAGCCAGAATGGTTCCCGCAAAGACCTTTATTATTCCTCAAGGCATCATATGGAGTTTCCTGAAATACTTTTGTGTTTGGGATGGGACCTTCCAACTGATTGTATGATACATCAACACATATCAAACCCAAAGAATGGCCAAGACTAGAAGGGATATGTCCTGACAAATTGTTGTGTGATAAGTTCAATATTTGTAAACTTGTTAGTTCGTCAAATTGCAGTGGTATTTGACCAGAGAGCATGTTGTGGCTTAAATCAAGGCTTTCAAGGGATTTCATGTTTCCCATATCATAAGGAATCCTGCCAACAAACATATTTCTACTCAAATTCAAGTCTATTAACACTGGGCATCTTTCAAGGTATTCCGGAAGCAACCCAACAAAATTATTTGCGGCTATGCTGAAGTTCAAAAGTTGAGGTAATTTCCAAATTTCTAGTGATATGTTGCCAGAAAATTTGTTGTTATCCAACTTAAGAACAGTTAACAACGTCAATTTTTCCAAACTCTTAGGAATCTTTCCAACTAGTTGATTTGATGAGAGATCAATAAAACCAATTTGAGAAGCATTGCTAAGATTTGGTGGGAGTTTCCCAGAAATTCTGTTCGTTGAAATCTTCAAAGCACCAAGTTTTGGGCAATTTCCCCAATTAGAAGATAGATGGCCGTAGAAAGAATTGTTACTCAAATTAATGTAGTTTAGCTCAGGATAAATTCCGAAATCTTCAAAGATGTCTCCTGAGAATTGATTGTTTTCAAGATGTACTCTGAGAAGAGAGGTGCAATTTTTCAGTGTTTTGGGAATCTTTCCTATAAACTCATTGTTTTTGACAGCCAAATGTTTCAGTGAATTACCAATGCACAAATTTCCAGGCAAAACACCAGTGAGGTGATTATCTGATAAATCAAATTTAGCTAAGAGAGTCAGGTTATTTAACTCTGAAGGAATGCTGCCATTCAGTTCATTATTCCTGAGAAACAAATTTGTTAATTTCCACAGGTTTCCAATTGAAGTAGGGATTTGACCTTTGAGATTATTTGAGTCCAATTCCAAATCAACAAGAAAAGTTAACAATCCAATTTCTTGAGGAATTTGACCTGAAAGTTGATTTTCAAATAGATATAGAATTGATAAGCTTCGTAAGTTCCCAATTGAAGTAGGAATTTGACCTTCGAGATTATTTGAGCTCAAATCCAAATCAACAAGAGATGTTAACAACCCAATTTCTTGAGGAATGTGGCCTGAAAGTTTGTTCCCCCATAGATAAAGGGTTGTTAACTTTTGCAAGTTTCCAATTGAAGTAGGGATTTGACTTGTGAGATTATTTGAACCCAATCCCAAATTAACAAGAGACGTTAACCATCCAATTTCTTGGGGAATGTTGCCTGAAAGTTGGTTCCGAGTGAGATATAGGGTTGTTAAAACTTGCAAGTTCCCAATTGAAGTTGGAATTTGGCCAGTGAGATTATTTGTGTATAATTGCAAAACAGTAAGAGATGTTAACAACCCAATTTCTTGAGGAATATAGCCTGAAAGTTGGTTCTCAAAGAGATAAAGGGTCGTTAAATTTCTCAAGTTCCCAATTAAAGTAGAGATTTGACCTATGAGATTATTTGAGGATAATTCCAAATTAACAAGAGACTTTAACATCCAAATTTCTTGAGGAATGTGGCCTGAAAGTTTGTTCCCCCATAGATAAAGGGTTGTTAACTTTTGCAAGTTTCCAATTGAAGTAGGAATTTGACCTGTGAAATTATTTGAACCCAATCCCAAATTAACAAGAGAGGTTAACCGTCCAATTTCTTGGGGAATGTTGCCTGAAAGTTGGTTCCGAGTGAGATATAGGGTTGTTAAAACTTGCAAGTTCCCAATTGAAGTTGGGATTTGGCCAGTGAGATTATTTGTGTATAATTGCAAAACAGTAAGAGATGTTAACAACCCAATTTCTTGAGGAATATAGCCTGAAAGTTGGTTCTCAAAGAGATAAAGGGTCGTTAAATTTCTCAAGTTCCCCATTAAAGTAGAGATTTGACCTATGAGATTATTTGAGGATAATCCCAAATTAACAAGAGACTTTAACATCCAAATTTCTTGAGGAATGTGGCCTGAAAGTTTGTTCCCCCATAGATAAAGGGTTGTTAACTTTTGCAAGTTTCCAATTGAAGTAGGGATTTGACTTGTGAAATTATTTGAACCCAATCCCAAATTAACAAGAGAGGTTAACCATCCAATTTCTTGGGGAATGTCGCCTGAAAGTTGGTTGCTAGTGAGATATAGGGTTGTTAAAACTTGCAAGTTCCCAATTGAAGTTGGGATTTGGCCGGTGAAATTATTTGCAGGCAATTGCAAATCAATAAGAGATGTTAACAACCCAATTTCTTGAGGAATATGGCCTGAAAGTTGGTTCTCAAAGAGATAAAGGGTCAATAAATTTCTCAAGTTCCCAATTGAAGTAGGGATTTGACCTGTGAGATTATTTGAAAATAATCTCAAATCAACAAGGGACTTTAACAATCCAATTTCTTGAGGGATGTGGCCTGAAAGTTTGTTCCCCCATAGATAAAGGGTTGTTAACTTTTGCAAGTTTCCAATTGAAGTAGGAATTTGACCTGTGAAATTATTTGAACCCAATCCCAAATTAACAAGAGAGGTTAACTGTCCAATTTCTTGGGGAATGTTGCCTGATAGTTGGTTCCAAGTGAGATATAGGGTTGTTAAAACTTGCAAGTTCCCAATTGAAGTTGGGATTTGGCCAGTGAGATTATTTGTGTATAATTGCAAATCAATAAGAGATGTTAACAACTCAATTTCTTGAGGAATATGGCCTGAAAGTTGGTTCTCAAAGAGATAAAGGGTCAATAAATTTCTCAAGTTCCCAATTGAAGTAGGGATTTGACCTGTGAGATTATTTGAAAATAATCTCAAATCAACAAGGGACTTTAACAATCCAATTTCTTGAGGGATGTGGCCTGAAAGTTTGTTCCCCCATAGATAAAGGGTTGTTAACTTTTGCAAGTTTCTAGTTGAAGTAGGGATTTGACCTGTGAAGTTATTTGAACCCAATCTCAAATTAACAAGAGAGGTTAACCGTCCAATTTCTTGGGGAATGTTGCCTGAAAGTTGATTCCTAGTAAGATCTAGGGTTGTTAAAACTTGCAAGTTCCCAATTGAAGTTGGAATTTGGCCAGTGAGATTATTTGTGTATAATTGCAAATCAACAAGAGAAGTTGTCAATCCAATTTCCTGATGAATGTGACCAGAAAACCAATTTTGATAGAGATACAAAGTTGTTAAATTTTTTAAGACATGCATTTCTTTAATAAAAGAAATGCTACCATGAAGAGAGTTGTTGGAAAGATCAATGACTTGTAAATGCGGTAAGGATGATAAACTCATATCTTGAAGTGTACCTTTTAACCCATAACTTGAAAGGTTTAGGCTTGTAATGCTTTGGCCACCATCGCAAGCAATACCAGTCCAATTGCAAGGATCGCTACCAACAACCCATGATGTGAGTAGGGATTGGCTTCTAAGGTCAAGGCTTGACTTCCATGTTAAAAGAGCTCCTACTTCATTTGGGACTTGCAAGTGGTTTGGAGAAGAAAAAGGAAGGGCGGTTGTGGTAGAAATGAGGGGAAGGAGGCGTATAATAGTAAGGAATTGGAGTAGGAATTGGAATAGTTTGTATGCAGGAGGAGACATTGTGATTTTGATAATAAAGGGATATGAGGGAGGTGGTATATATTTACGTATATAGAAAGAGGGTAGGATATATATAGGTGCAATGGTTGTGAGTAAAATAATTGAGATTATATTTTTATATACTTCTATGTATGATGTAGTCATCAATAATTTTATATTTAGCGTTTGGTGTCCAATATCGCCAGTGGGCAGTGGCTGCCCACACAAGTCTTCTTGAGCAAATATTTCATTGATTACTCAAGTTCTCTAATCTGCCCATCCATTTGTATATAAATTAAATTAAGTGAAAATAGTTTTTTTTTTTTTTTGGTTCCTAAGTTATAAGATCTGGTCATGCTCACTTTTCATTCCTAAGCTATCATTAGTATTGGAATTTTCGTTCCTTTATTAACAAAAAAAAGTTAGGAACGGAATTTATAATTTTAGTATAATTTAGGGACAAAAAGTGCAATGCCAATGACAACTTATGGACGAAAAGTGAGCATGACCAACACTTAGGGACGAATTCTACAATTACCATATAACTTAGAGACGAAAAGTGTAATTTTTCATTAACTTAAATTAGAATAGAACAAACCGTACGTATGTTTGGCCCACGGAATAGATTTTGAAAGAATAAAAATGTTCTTCCATAAGGAATATAATAGAAATATAAGAATTTTATTCAATTGTTTGGTTCATTGGCAAAATAGACTTCAAATTGTATTACAGTATTTAATTGGTTTAATGTATACAAATGAAATATGCATTCAAAAGACATACGAGTTAATACCATCTAGGATCTTTCAAGTATAGTGATTTTGTTACGTTTAGTCTTAAACTTTCAAATTGATTATCTGTGATCTTTCAACTTTCAAATTGTTACCATTCGTGGTCTAATTGAAGTCGCATTTGGGTCTTCTTCTCGAGCACAATATATGAGTCTCCATTGTCAGTTGCAGTCTTTGCGCCTATGAGATTCCACTATGAGTGAGTATCTTGACAAAGCCAATATTTTAATGGGAAAAGGGTCAAATAAACCCTTAAACTATAGGCAAAAGAGCAATTAGGCCCTTCAACTTTGACAAGGTGCAATTAGGCCCTTTAACTTGTTATTTTGAGTCAAATAAACCCAATAGCAGGTTTTTCACCCGGAATAACCGGTCAAAAAATTCCGGCGAACATTTCCGACCATATTTCCGGCGACAACAAATTTAAAAAAAAAAAAAAAAAAAAAAAAAAAAAAAACTTGCCGGCGGTTGTCTTCTCCGGTGGAGAAGGCGACCAGATCAGGTCGCCTTCTCCACTGGAGAGGGCGGCCAGATCTGGTCGTCCTCTCCACAGTCCTCTCCGATGAGAGGACGACCAGATCTGGCCGCCCTCTCCAGTGGAGAAGGCGACCGGACTGGTCGCCTTCTCCACTGGAGAGGGCGTCCAGATCTGGTCGCCTTCTCCACTGGAGAGGACGACCGGACTGGTCGTCCTCTCCAATGGAGAAGGCGACCTGTCCACCGGAGAAGACAACCGAACGGTTGTCTTCTCCGGCAAGGTTTTTTTTTTTTTTTTTTTTTTTTTGTCTTCTCCGGAAATATGGTCGGAAATATCGTCGGAATTTTTTGACCGGTTATTCCAGGTGAAAAATCTGCTATTGAGTTTATTTGATTCAAAATAACAAGTTGAAGGGCCTAATTGTACTTTTGCAAAGTTGAAGGGCCTAATTGCTCTTTTGCCTATAGTTTAAGGGTCTATTTGACCCTTTTCCCTATTTTAATTGAACTTCGTTTTGAGTATAGCACGAGGATTTCCTCATTGACTACTAAACTACTAAAGAACCTACAGTAGACCAACTAGTAAAAAATAAATAATTTTACCATTTGTACTCATACTTCCAACATTTATAAAAAGTATGTTAATTGAATTATTAAACAAGCAAAATCTTTCTCACAACTAACACAATAGAGGAAAGAGAAACTATTACTACATATCATTTAAGTAATGAGACTTTGAAAAAATATATTAATTACACACATTTTACATGTTTAATGATTTAATTGCATATTTTTCAGTGGGTCTAAAATGAAGTAGAATTGAAATTTCATGGAAAAACAATTACTAAAAAGATGAATTTCATTGTTTGGTTGGTGGAAAAATAATTATTGAGAATACTAATTATATTGTTTGGTTATATTTGGAATTGTAAGGAATAACGAGTATAAAGACATATATGCCTTTACAAATTAATAAGAGTAATATAATTTTTCTTAAAAAAACAAGGGTAAAATAGTCAAACCATATCACTTTTTCTTCCCATCTTCCATGGAAAACAAAATCCTTGATCCAACCAAGGATTTTGTTTTCCTCAAATTTGAGGAATTCATTTTCCACTAGAAAATGAATTCCATGAACCAAACACCAAAAAAATAACATTTTCCTCCACTTGAAAATATTTTCTTTTGGAAAACATTTTCCATGAACCAAATATCCCCTTAGGGTGTGTTTGGTTCCAACATAGGAATCAAAATCAGAGTGAGAATCAAATACCTAGTGATTAAAATGAGTTCTGGTGAAAGTATTTTGCATGTTTAATTTGATAGTTGGGTGGTATTGGAATGATTATCAATATTGATGTTTTATTATGTATAACCATATAATCAGATTAAAGATTTTAAAAATATAAAAAACAAAAAATTAAGACAATTTAAAAGTGACGGTGAAGTGTGTAAGTAATGCAATAAGGGACTCAATAAAGTGATGAGAGATGAGTGAGGAAGCGATTAAATAAAGAGGGATAAGGTTGAATTAATAGAATGATAATTTAAATTAGGTAATAACTTTTATAATTATATGATAATCAAATAATATATTTGTGTTTTAAAAAATTATCAACCACCACACTTTATAAGATTCTCATCCTCATTCCTGATATTTAACCTCATCATAAACCAAACACATCCCTACAATATTCTCTATCGCAAGGCATTTATTAACCACTACTGTGTCTATCTCACCCTTATCTTTTTTGAAATCAAACAAAACAGCTTTCATTAACCAGAGGAGTTCAGCGACACAAAACCAGAAATACAAGGAGGCAAAAACTCAGAAAATTCAAACATCTCACCCTTATCTTCAACAACAAGAATTTCACCCCTTACCCTTTGTTCTTGTCGTTCTCAACACTCAAGTCATTTTCTCGTTAGCAAAAAAACAACACTCTTGCATTTATTTGGTCCACTACTTTTATTTTTTAATCAAGCCAGTAAATAGTATATTAATAATATATGTATTATTTATCTTCACTTTATAATCTATAAACTCAGCGCTTGCAGAAAACCAAAAAAAAAAAAAAACAAACAAACAAACAAACAAAAAAAAAAACAAAAAAGGAGACAGGACATAAACAATTTGGTCATATTTTTTATTCTCTGAGAACCAAACCAGGGGATTTTTTTAAAAAGTAAAAAAATAGTATGCATTTACCATGTTTGATAACATAGTTAGCTTGTCAGTCAATTTTGACTTATTTTATTTGATTAAACAGCCAATATGAATGTTTAGTGGTAACAACTTATTGCTATAAAACGCTAAAATTCAAAAAGTTGTAATGAACATTATTTTTGTTATTAATTTAGTCAAACTTTTTATAATTAATAAGCAATGTTTTATTAGTTAATGTATTTATTTTTATTATTAGCTATTCAAAAATTTGTCCTCATTATTTTGAGATGTTTATAATTTTTTTTTCTCACAAATGTATCAACTTTTATTACTTTATTATCTAAAATAACATTTAAATATTTTTATGATTATTGTCAAAATTGGCATCTAATTTCTTTACTAGAATTTGATACTTAATTGATAGATAGAAAAAATATATTCTTATCAATACTTGTTCATCTGCGAACCAATTAAAGAGTGATTTAATAAGTTGAATAGTTATCTATGATGCATTTGTTTAGGAACAATGAAATGAATATTTGAATGGAAATATGCATGAATCGATGACTTAGTCCTGACAATAGCTTTCTATTAAAATTGTCCACAAAATTATTGTATAAATTTTCACATAATACAATTTTATGATTGACAACGATCCCTCTTGACAATAGTTGTTATTAGAATTGTCCACAAAATTATTGTACAAATTTTCACATAATACAGTTTTATGATTGACGACGATCCCTCTTGACAATAGCTGTTATTAGAAGTGTCCACAAAATTATTGTACAAATTTTCACATAATACAATTTTATGATTGACGACGATCCCTCTTGACAATAGCTCTTATTAGAATTGTCCACAAAATTATTGTAAAAATTTCTATATAATACAATTCTTGAAAGCAAGTGTATGGAAAGTTTGGGGGACCAAACTCAAACGTGAACTTAAAAACTAGACTTTTTTTTTTTAAACAACTAGACTTTGATTATGAGGCTTAGTTTTTTTTTTAGAGTTTATTTTAAATGTGATATTTTTATTAAAGAGAAAATTTATTCCCAAAAAATATATATTTTTATTTGTCTTTAAAAGGTTTTTTTTTTTTTTTGGGGGGGGAGGGGGGGATTAATGACCCTCGTTGGGGTTTAAACTTATGACGTCTTATATAAGAAAGTCACAATTATGCTATTTGACCACAAAGGATTTAATTATTTTTGTTTGGAATGTTTTTGCTTGTAAAAGTTTAATCAGACTTCATCATATTGCATTTAAGGGCAAATTATTTTGTGGACCCGTGTCTAAATGGTCGCAATTTGCCAATTTACCTTTTAAAATTTCGCAATTTGTATACTACAAACACACAATGTTAACATATATGTAATTTGATTACCTTGTATTGTATTATCAAGTTCATTTCAAATACTGTCGTCACACAATATTAACATATTATGATTTCATGACCATGTATGACATTCACAAATTCTCTGTGTTTTGACTTGGAAACACAATTTATATTGTAGAAGTTCACAATTCTAATACTAAAAATACACAATTTATAATACGTCCTATATATTATGG